CCCCAAAACCCCAAACCCCAAAACCCCAAAACCCCAAAACCCCAAAGGAAATAATATATTAAGGTTATTACTAATTTATTATGACTGACAATCAGGAAGGACGCTCCAGTATAAAAAGTAGTGAGGGCAAGAACCCTAGCTTCGTATCAAACACTGAACAAGCTGAGGCTGATAACGGATACTTTGAATCTAAGTTAGAAGAATTCAAATACTATTTCAATGACAATTCTAGTCAGAATAGATCCAATAATACCCAATTTCAGAGAACTCCAGAAGGGGATGCTTCTAGGGTTAAGACTATGATCACAATTTATGAATTCATCCTCAACAAGAATAAAGAAATGCTGAATGCCATCAACAAGGAGAGGAAGAACAATGAGCAGTATCGTCGACAACTACCGCTTTTATTAGAGCGACTCCAGTGCTTAAATGAAGCATGCATCAAAAAGGAAGAAATGATCAAGCAGACTGGAGAATACATGCAAGAGAGTGAGAACCAGATATTTGAACTGAAGCAAGAGCTTCATGAAAAAGAAACTCTTATTCGGGATCTTAACAAGACCGTCTCGGATCAGAGAGAGAAACTGGATTCAAAATACTTTGATGCATCCATGACTAGTTTTGACTCTAAAATGAACGACTCTAGGGTCTTATCCAGGAAAAGCAAGAATGGAGAGACTAGCTTCCATAATGAAGCTGATTTTGAGACTATTCAGGAGCTCAAGGATGACATCGGCCAACTTCTGAATGAATATAAGATTGTTGAGAAACAAAAAGATGAGTTCAGTGATAAGTACGACCAACAAGTTAAAGTGAATAAAGAGCTCCTCAATGATATTGCCAATATGGAGATTGTCATCACTGACCAAAACAACCAAATTAAGAACATGAGGGAAAAACTTAAGTTGAACTTTAAAGAACAGAAGAGAAACGAGCTTTTAGTAAGAAATTTTGGAAAATTGAAGCAATCTTATGAAACCTCAGCAGACGACAATCACAATGAGAATTTAAACGACCTTAATGTCAGTGCTAATATCTCAAGGCAAGTTGATCTCAATGGGTTCAAAGACGATAAAGGTAAAGAAGAGTTTTCATATGAGCATATTGATGAAGAGACTATCAATGATGCTCTAAACTTATCATACCAAGTATTGAACCCTGGCTTGATTAGTCAGGATATTAGCCCACTTATTTCAAGATCAAGAAAGAAGAAAGACTCAGGATCTACAACTGCAGAGGGTGATTCTCAGCCAAAGGCATGGGGAAATAGAGTTTATGGATCTATTGGTAAGATAATTACCCAAAATTTGCCTAGAATCAATCTAATACTATTACAGATGATTTTGCAAAGAGCAAGCTATCTCAAAGTATATGAGTGACAAAATTAAACGAAAATAAAATTTTAACAAAGGATGAAGATGATTCAGACGATAATCAAAACGAGAGTCATGAGAAGAGCTCGAATAATAAGTCTTCATCTAAGAGTAATCAGAACAGCATGTTTAGTTTCCAAGGTAAATCTTGATTCCTGTTTCACCATCTATGAATTGCCAAATACATATTTCCTATCAAAAGATTAGAATTCTTACATGTCATAGGTGAGACTAAAGAGAAGCCAAGTCCATCGAGAACGGGAAGAAGTGGAACAGATGAATGTAAGTTATTCAGACTAATAATTGCTCATAATTTAGTTGATAATGATAAAGATGATATGCAATCTCTAGATAAGGCTAGTAAAATGCTTAAGAAGACTAATAATGAGGCTAGAGGAGAGGAAGACACTCAACTCCTAAGAGAGGTTTTCCATAATCTCGGCCAGACAGACTCTGTAAACCCTAATCAGGAAATCAGTGCATTAGGGTTCAATGAGAGTCAGTTCCAAGGGATTGGAGATGACAGCCAGTTCAATGATGTTTTAGATATCTCTGCATTTCAGAAAAAGTCTATTCTAGAGAAATACGAAGATTTTGAAGACACAAGAGATGAAGGACTAATGAAAAGAAACCGGTTGCCAAGTGAGGCATATGGCATGGAGACAAATGAAGGGAACAGGAAAAGTGATTTCTCAAAGCCAGGATTCTTAAAATCCCCTAATAATATCTTCGACCAGCCACAGAACTTCCCTGAGATAGATGCATCAGCCATCGGAGTAGATGCTCTCCATGTGATCGACAATGAATTTGGAGATGGAAGCTTTATTAACCCAGACGGAAAGACTAAAGTTCCTGCTGAGAAAAATGAAGGAAGTTTTGAGGACAAAGTTAATACTGTGAAGCCTCAAGTTAAAGAAAATGACAAAGATAAAGATTCTGAAGGCACAAAGGTTTGAAGGTTTGTTTTACATTTTAGATGCCTGATAATATGAGGTTTAGTCTTACAGGAAAGAAAACTAATGTTCAAAAATATAAAAATGAGCTGGAATCAAGTGGAACATTTGGACAAGATCCTGATTCCCCTGAAAAGCTTCAACCTGATAATAAAGAAATCACTGCTTTTGGGAAGCAATTGAGTAAGATCACTGGTAAAAAGACGTCTCCAGTAGTCCAAAAGAGGTTGAGTGGGAATCTGTCAGATTATGATCCTACTAATCCAGATCAAGATCATACTAAGCAAGAGAACTTTTGAGAAACATTTAAGCCTAAGAATAATGCTCCTAAAGACTACAAGATGGACAAAGAACAAGAAGAAAAATATGAACTTAATGTAATGAATGAGCTAGATAGCTTTGGGATGACTCCTCAGAAAATCAATACAAATGGAAGTATCGTTGAAGATGACGAAGAAGGTTCTCCATCTAAAATCCAAGTACTCCCTTCAAATCAAGAAGTTGAGAATGCTTTACATAGCTCAGGCACTTCTGACAAGGTTCAGAAAATCTCCTTTGTTGAAGAATATGACGAGGAAGAAGAACGGAAATATAACACAAATGAAAGCCCAAAGAAGATGCAACTTATGCCTCCAAGTATGACATCTGAATCAGGAAGCTCTTATGGTCATGCAAGTAAGTCCTCAGTTGCTAGCAATAACTTCAATATCTATTCAAGCCTTTAAGTTTCTTTGAACCTTTGCTTGAACGCACAATGAGGTTACCAAACCACATTTATTTTCTCTAAAAGTTAGGCGAAACCTAAAAATTATACATAATTTTAAATAATTCGAAAACTAAATTTCCTTCAGAAAGAGAGTGAATTCAGTTTATAGTTCAACCTTCTACTTGAGAGGGATAAACTTAATTCAGATATTTAGATCGGTATCTAAGGCAAAGCCTGAGATGTTGGTACTAGCTCCTAAAAATTTAGAGGTGTGGGGTTGGTGACCTAGATATTTTGAATAGAGCATGGTTGGTTTTAAATAGCATTAATTTCCTTTGAAAATCTTATCTTGAGTATTCTAGCTGTGATTGGTTGGAAATTTTAGGCTCAGGGGTTTACTTATTTTAAGAATAATGCTTTATTTATCTCTTCTTCATTCTGAAAATATTCATACTTCTTTTCAAATGAAGGCGGAAATGCTCATTCCTTTCTCTAGGAAATTACACAGAGACTGGATTAGAGGATGGCCAAAACCCAAAAGTGTATCATATCAGACATAAGAGTAATGCTGATCCTGAACAAGAGGACCTGATGCGTAGAAAAGCAAATACTTGTCGGGAGGATTCTGACCTTCCTTCTTCCTCCTTAGATTGAGATATGTACTCTCTAGATCCAGAACAGAACAAACAAGCTTTCTTCTGAATTACACCTATGGCATTATAAAGATGGGTAAAAGCGGAGCTCCAGTAGACCCCAAGACTGGCAAATTTAGACGAGCAGGGAAGGACGTAAAATGGCCTTTACAAGACGGCTCCAACAGCGACATGGATGCTGACTTCCTTAACAACATGTATCAACAGAAGAGGAAGAAGAAGAAGAGGAGCATGAAGAAGAAGGTCAGCTTGACTAAACTCCAGAAGAAACAGAGGCATAGAGTACAAAAATCCACAGAATTCCTCTTTGGCAAAGTCCTTGACAATGAGTATGACCTAGACGATCAGTATTTCGAAGAGCTCTAGGCAACTATGCTTAAGCGATATTAAGAAATTTAGCATGAAGACAATTCACGCAGAAGGAATTGGGGTTTTGGGGTTTTGGGGTTTTGGGGTTTTGGGG